TGGGGGGTGGTGGTGGCTACACATAAAGAAAACCACACAGAGGTTCTTTGTAATAAAACTGCTAAAAACCCGAGACACAGTGATGTATCATCAAAAGGAAAACAGAAGCCAGAAAACAATAAATTACATCTTCACAGTACTCAAGTATTTACTTTTACTTCTATGCAGAGTGAAAATGCTTTCAGAATGAAAGCAAAATAAAGAAATCATCAAGAGAATTAATTGGACCCACACTTAAGGAAAGGAGTTCTGGGGAAGGAAAATGATCCTGGCACAGACATGCAGGAAGAAATGGTAATATAAAAAATTAAAGTGTAGGTAAATCTAAATGAATAATTTTAAATGAAATAACAATTATGTATTTTGAGGTTAAAATACACAGAAAATTAAAATGCACAACAATAAGAGTGCAAACAGTGTGAGGGCATTAAAAGTTTGAGCTACAAGGTAACTGCTTTCTAGAACTGACAGATACAAGTGATTATTCATATCAGACTTTGATGACCCATGGATGCATATTACAACCTCTAGGTAACCAGCTAAAAGAAGTGTGCAAGAACGTGTAACTGAGGGAAAATGATACACATGACCAATTCATATGGTTATCATTAATACCTCTGTAAGTGTATATGCTTCTTCAGCCGTGCACTCAGCCATTGCTGTTGGATTACTCAGTGCAAATATTACAGGCCTTTCATTGATATGAGCCATGGATTTGATCACATTAGGAGTAAAAAGACGGCCAGCGCCTGCAACTCCTGTAATAAGCAAAGGGAAAAAAAGCAACTTCATTACAGGTATAAAAACTAATCTTACCAGTAGTGTTTCTACAATAGGTTTACCGTAACAAAAGCACAGAAAATAGCACTATCTCAGTCATGCAAAATCGGTGCGACCACAATCTCAATTCTGAAAAATTTTAAAACGCTTAAAGTTTTCACTTAAACCCTTGCCTACTGCATAGTAAATTATGTGAGATAAAAAAAGAGTATAAAACTATTTCCATCACTCTAAGATAAGCTTGCTACAACAAGGATGAACCTTGAGAACATTATGCTAAGTGAAACAAGCCTGTCACAAACAGATAAATACTGTGTGATTCCAATTACATGAGGTGCCCTGAGTAGTCAAATTCAGAGACCGAAAGTTGTTAGGTGCTGGGGAAATAGGAGAATGCAGAATTGTTGTTTAAAGGATATAGAGTTTCAGTTTTGCAAGATGAAGAGATCTGGAGCTGTGTTGCACAACAATGTGAATATACTTAGCACTACTGAACTATATGCTTAAAAACAGATAAGACAGCACATTTTATGTTATGTGTGTTTTACCACAATTAAAAATGTTAAAAAAATAAGTAAAACTTGCATCTCAAATGTTAAACGGCAACACTCTCTGGTACTCGTTGTAAAATAGGAATTCAGAAAGGATAAAAGATCATCTTGATTAAAGCAATCTACTTTCTTGACCCAGTTCAGTTTAATGGCCTTTTTTGAAGTCCTGCAGTGTCCTAGACACTTCGTTACACCGTTAGGATATAAAAATGAGTATAACGCAGGCAGCTGATGGCTGAGAGAAAAACTGCAAAGTGAAAGGAAGATCAGAACACCTGCAACAGGTGCTATGACAGCAGCAGGCAGTGTTGTGGAAGTACAGCGTGCGGAAGGAAGAAGACTCAGACCACCTGGGGGTCACCAAGTGCTGCCTCTGCTGAGTACTGCATAGTCCCTCCGGTAAGTATGCTCACATTAAACATTTTTTCATTTTATTATTGACCCCTGGAGTGAGTTTTGAGACAAATGGACTAGAGACCCTTTAAGGTTTCTTCTCACTCTAAAAAATCCCAATTGAATTCTAATCAATGAAGAAGCTATCACAGACACACTTTTCCTGATCCCAGAACTATTTGTGACTATTTTACCCTTTAACCTTAAACAGAGTTCCAATGTGAAATTAATAAAATTACAAGAAAAATGACAGATTCAAATCTTACAGCTACATAGGAAGTTGTATAGCTCCTCTGTGAAAGACTTTTACATTTTCTGCTGAGGACTGAAGGACATGATGACATACAGTCTGATGTCAGCTATGCAATGTCTGATTCAAAGATCCCTGAAAGTTTTCAGCTGTGTTGCCAATGATCATCTTTGACTCCGCACAGGATTTTCCAGCATAGACTGCAAATAACCTTGGTCTTTTTCATGTTTTGAGCTTAACAGTCATACCAACTCTAAAAGCAACGCATGATCAACTGAAGTGTCTAGTACTTAAAGTACAAGCAACATCCGCTAACTGAATGTTCATGCATGGTAACCAAAAACTATCACAGAAAACATCCTATATGCTGAAACCCAGGTAAACTGTCAATTCATTTTTAGCAATCCTACATGGTAGTTAGGACTGGCAACATACAGATTTACCAATAACTTTACTTACCAATTATAGTTGAAGGCTTAAGTATATTTACTGCCTCGTCAAAACTATCTGGTATGCTCTCTGGGGCTGAGTGAGCAAATGGTTCCTGATGACTGTCTATTTTGGCTTCCCGCCCCTAAATTTTGAGATAAATTGCAGTATTTTTTAGTAAATGTATATTGAGGATGAAGTGAAAAAACAGAGTTACTTATTTTTTCTATAACAGAAATGTCTTTTGATTTTCATTTACTTTCCTTTTCAACCCATATCTTCTAATTCTATTATCACAGTGTTCATAAATTCAAATATAAAGCAAAAATCAAGTCCCATTACATCCAGAAATGTTCTAGTTCCTCTCAAAAGGACATTTACTCTGTGGAGTTCTCCTAAATGCAATATGGCACAAAGGCCTATAATCCTTGTCTGGGCCAGATGAGTTTTGTAATGAAGAATTTTTCATATTCTCGAAAGGCAGTCTGGCAATATATCAAAATTACAGATGTCCCCCTCTCAACAGACACCCCACAGCTGAACAAACTTATGAATGGCCACAGCAAGTATACAAGGTTAAGACCACAAATAGCCTTCTCATTAGTGTGGCTCAGGTTGTTACCATGTCAGTTCCAGTCAATCATGTCTGTCATCAAGCGAATTTCAGAAAAAAATTGCGATTTCAGAACTTTTAGGATTTCAGAATCGCAGGCAGACATACCATGGACTTGTACTACCTGGAGTCCATGAACAAGGGGAATAGGAATTCCGGTTCAAGATGGCTGGGATAAGAAACATGCTTTCCTTCCTGAAACCCAGGTCGGAAACGAAGTCTTTAGCCGTGCCATGAGACCAGATTGAGGGGCCGCTGACAGACGTAGCCCCAGGCGAGACACCGCAGGGGCGAGAAAAGGGGCGCACCAGCCTCAGCTGCTGAGGGGCTAAGCAAAGGACTGCGAATCGGTCCCCCCAGATCTGGTTCTCGAAGCAGTGACAGGTCTGTCCCCAGGATCACCAGAGCTCCCCCACACGGGAGTTCAGGAGGAGACTCCGACGGCCTCAAAACCAAGGGCAGCCCTCAGGGTCACCGGGAGACCTGACGCCTCGAGCCTGTGCAGGCCAGGCTGCCTGACGCCCTGAAGGAATACGCCCTCTGCCAAGGCACAGGAAAATGTACTGGGATTCTCACGTGGGCTAAGGGAATACACTGTGGCTGCCAACGTTACATTCGTTCTGGACCTGGCCTTCCGACATGGTAAAGGATCTCAACGCACTTGAAAACCAACACTGCAAAAAAAGGCACCCCACTAACCGAGTACCCTTAAGCATATACATCCCTCTAGTCGCTTCTAACGATGGAATGCCTTATCCTTGCAACCTGCACACTAGCAAATGCAGGAGTCACAGCCTCCTTGGAAGGTCTCACAGTTCCACAATTCCAAGCACAGGCTTCACAGTCAGGCTACTTGGGTTGGAATCCCGCCTCCATACATATAAGCTGATGACTGTGAGAAAGTACCCTGACCTTCTGATCTCCAGTTCCTCACTGGTAAAACTTCACAGGACTTTTGAGAGAACTAAGGGAGATAATACATGTAAAGTTTTATCACAATGTCAACTATATGTTAAATTACTATTATTTTATTTCAAATTATGTGCAGTTTAAGTACTCAACACTTTTTACTCACACTCTTTAATTTTTCATTTTACTTTCGTGCTAATGGAATACTGATACTGATTTCAGAAGTGGAGCGAAGTATATTGAGATAGCTTGCTCCATAGATGGAAATGCAAAAAAACTGCTATAGTATTAATATTATGATGTGCACACACAAAAATACAACACTGTGCATTGACTAGTTCAACTAGGAAGCAGTTTCCCTGGATTTCAATGTGTTACGTGGATAAGATATGTAACACTCTTAAGCTAATAAAAACGATAATCAAAGCTGAGGGCGGAAGGCAGGACCAATGGGAGACAAGCTCTTTATTATCCATGGATTTGTTTCAGGGGTACAGGCTTTTTTTTGTTTTGTTTTGAGAAAGGGCCCATGGGTTTTTATTAGATTGCTAGAGGTGATTATGATTTTCAAAGGGTTAGAACATTTTTGATAAAATCTCAGCTATATATTACTAAAACTGTAATTTAATTAAAAAGTTCTGAGTTCCCTATTTTTAGAAGGCTCAAATACAATCATACTGGTACAATAGCTTTTGACCTCTTAAGAGCAAGAGAACAAAGCAAGAAAGAGCAAGCCTGGGTACCAATACAGAGATTATGGTTTAAATATGAAGCAAGAGTTCTCACAAAAGGCAACGAGACTAGAGATCTCTATTAAAAATACAAGGAGCTGGGCTCGGTGGCTCAGCCTGTAATCCTGCACTTTGGGAGACTGAGGTGAGCGGACTGCCTGAACCCGCGGGTTTGAGACCCGCCTGGGAACTTGGCGAGACCTCATCTCTACAACAAATCAAAAATCAGCTGGATGTGGTAGTGCGTGCCTGTAATTCCGGCTACTCAGAAAGCTGAGGCGGAAGGATCGCGGGAGCCCAGCAGGTCGAGGCTGCAGTGGCCGGGAGCGGCCACTGCACTCCAGTCTGGGCGACAGAGTGAGACTCCAACTCAAAAAAAAAAACAAACAAAAAAAAACAAGGGAAGGTCCCCAATGGTACAGTTTGGATAGTCCAGTGAGATACAAGAGTCTAAGAAATGAAAATATTTTAAAAATCCAACTAAAGTATCCTAACAACAAAAACACTCTTTGGCTTCTCCAAATTTTAAATACCTTACCTTAACTAATAAACCATACTTGTCAAACATCCAGATTTTCTTTTGTGCCTCTTCTTCTGAGAGCCCATTTTCTATCATAGACATAACTATTAGATTTGCAATTCCAAGAGCAGCCTGTCCAACAAGACATAAATGTTAAGAATACCAGAGTATAATGCAATCCTTGAATTACTTTATATCATAAAGGTTCTATGTTATGAGAAACATTTGTCCCCTGCAAACCAAATAAAAGTTAACTTTTGGTGACAGTCTAAATATTTTAAATTACCTACATAACAACAGTCGTCTTGGATTCATGCCCTGTATCACAACAAAACTATAGTTTTGTTGTGCTCATTGTGCTCTTTTGTACCTATTAACATTCTGCCTCACTTTCCAATTCTAAAGGAGAGTGTCGGTTGTAAATTTGAAAAAGATTCCAAGAAACTTACCTCTCCTGCTCCAAGGAATAAGATTTTGTGTTGTGAGATTGGTTTGCTGATAACTTTTTGTGCTGCAAGAAGACCGGCAAGAGCCACTGCCGCTGTCCCTGTAGGAAAAACAAAGGTTTTCACAGGTAAAAATTGGGCACATTAAATATGTTCAAAGGTAGGGATAAAAAACCTGAAGCTTTCCTCTTCCTTTACCTTGAATATCATCATTGAAAGTACAATACTTTTCTCGGTATTTTCTCAAGAACCTGAATGCATTGTGGTTCCCAAAGTCTTCAAACTGGATAAGTGTGTTCCGGCCATATCTAAAAACAGCAAAATCCACAATGGTTGCGTTGGAAATACCACTGTTAAACAGTTTTCCCGTGTAATATTCCCCATTATAGCACATAAAAGTAATGCATTATGTTAGCTCAATTAAGGCCATCCAAAAATTTCCAGAGCCCGTGAAAGACTAGATCCAAAATGCAGAGATCTACTGTTCAAAAAAAAAAAAATGTATAGAGTGCTTAAGAAGAATGTGGCGCCATGATGGCCCTGTGGGATCTCAATCTGTAGGCCGTTTCCAAGTGCCCAGGAGAGTGCCCGGCACATGTAAGGACTAAATAACTTCCTAAAAAGAAGAGACAATTTGATGTGTATATTCTCCTTGCATTAATAGTTAAACAGCAGCACAGGAAGGTGTATCTTAAATAGATAAAAAAATAATTGCTATATGAGTTCACTGACATTCAGAAAAAGAAGACAGCAAGCATCCAGGCAAATGAGAACAGTACAGGAAGCTTGAAAAGAAGGTAGGACTTATTTGGGCCTTGAGCAAAGAACAAAAAGTAAAGAGATGGGGAGAAAGACGAGGTAGATTTTAGGGTGACTCTGAATTTTCAACAGTCTGGCTATATATTTCAAGATTTATATTAAAAGAGAAGGGAGAAGTTGGTTAATGCAGGGTGGGTCAAACAAGGGAGGATCTTTAATGCCAAATTAGAGAACAGGGGCTTTCTTCTGCATCCCATATAGAACCACCGAAGGCTGCACAGAAGGGAAGAATTCACATTAGACTCCTTTCAGGAAGGACACACCTGCCAGGACGCAAATCCTGGTGTGGGGAGAGATAAGAATGACAGAAGCAGTTAGGAGGCTACTGTGATATGAGGACACACAATCTGAAGCAGAAGACACAGGAAGCAAAGGGATAACTATGAGAAATTAGAGTAAACAAACAGAAATTGGTGATGAGGATCAACTGGAAAGTAAGAAAGAAGTTGTTACAATGTCAAGGCAACCTGGATGGTTAAGAAGATACTATGTAGTTGTCCAAGGACAGGAAAGTGAGAGGAAGGAGGGGAGATGGCACTTTCTGGGAAGGCGCAAAATTCAACTTATATCAACTCTGAGCTCCACAAAGCAATGAATTTCTGTGTATTTTCTGGGTGCTAGTAATTTAAAAGGTAGGCCAGGGTTAGATCACTAAGATAAATAATGTGGAGCTTATCCTATGGCAATAGGAAACCAATATAAATTTCAAACAAAAGACTGGCATAACGAAGTGTATGTTTTTAGAGGATGAATCAAGCTAGAGTTAACATGCAAATGACTAGAGAGGAGAGAACTGGAAGAAGCATTAGAAGAACTCAGAAGAGAGGTAAGGAGAGAGCAAGGCTATGGCAACAGGAAACGAGAGAGGGATCTCCGAGGCCTTGAGGCTGTAGCGTCAACTGGGTATGAGTAATAGCTGACTGCGTGGGGGTGTCCACGGAGAAGCAGGAAGAGTAAGGCCCTGCCAGGACCCCAGGTTTGGCAATGTCTGAAAGCTGCTGCCAATGCCAGAAGCTGGGAACCGAGAAAACAGGCCGTTTGTAAAGGGAGGGCGGTGAGTTTGAGACACCAACAGGAAGTAGCAACAGAGTATCCAGATGAAGGATTTTGATTAGCAGTGCCTCGGAAGAGCTGTGGAACTGCAGAGATGGGCTTTCCGGGTTTCAGAGTCGCACGAGTGAAGGCCAAAGCTTGCATGGCTCCAAGAGAAGAGGCCTATGTAGTCACCCGCTTATTATTCTATATGTGTAATATCATATTACATTCTACATTCTATGTATATATGTAGATGTGACTGAAGTACACTGGTAGGCTTAATCTTGGCTCACTGAAGCCTCAAACTCCTGGCCTCAAGCAATCCTCCTACCACAGCCTCTCAAGTCACTCACCACCATGCTGGCCTTTCTTCTTTTTTTTCGTAGAGGTGGAGTTTCACTACATTGTGCAGCCTGGTCTCAAAAACTCCTGGCCTCAAGTGATCCTCCTCTCAGTCTTGCAAAGTATTGAAAATAGGGGCAGGAACCATCACACCTAGGCATCAGCCACACTTAGAAGAACCAGTGAAGGCGGCAAAAGAAAGAAGGTGAGAGAAAGACCAAGTTAGGAAAGGGTTTTAGTAGTCAAGAGAAAAGAGTGTCTCAAGGATGCAGGAATGGGAAACTCTGGTCCGATGCTGCCAAGAGGTGAAGAGGTATGGAGAGGTAGGAGGACCACATGGTCAGAAAATTTACAACATAAAAGGCACTCAGTGGAATGGAGGGAGTAAACCTGACTGTCAAGGGCTGGAAGAGAAACTGAGCAGTGAGGGTTCGATAGGAGCAGTGAGTACAGACGTTCCACAAGATGTCAGGTAACTCAAGAACACAAGGCAGAGCATGGTGATCACCTTGCATCTCATGAAACAGAAAAGAGCTCAAGTTCTCAAAAATTTAATCTCCTCTTGTTTGTCTTCACAAGAAATAAAGGAAAACAAAACAAAACTGTGGTTCCTGCACCCCCATTAAAAATGCTTTCCTATTCTCAAACTTTAAATACCTGTCCGTAATAGCTTTCATAAACTCATCAATCAGTTCATCATAATGCTGTGAGCGATCTCGTCTCTGGTACAAACCCATGTAAAATGGATCTTTTAAGAGTGCCTATAAAAGAAGCCAAACGTAAAAAAAGGCCACTTTTATTATACAACCAGTTTAAGCACATACAACAAAAACTACAAAATAAAAATTATTAATGCAATTTTTTAAGATTCTTGCCCTTCAAGAAAGTTTTAATAGGCTTAATTTACTATTATCTACATACATATTAAAAATAGAGTTTAAGAAAAATACTTCTTTTCTTTTTGAGTTGGAGTTTCACCCTGTCACCCCAGCTGAGGTGCAGTGGCACAATCACAGCTCACCACAGCCTTGACCTCCTAGGCTCAGCGTGCCATTGCAGCTGGGTAATTTTTTGATTTATTGTAGAGACCAGGTCTCCCTGTGTTGTTCATGCTGGTCTTGAACTCCCAGGCTCAAGCAATCCTCCCACATCAGCCTCCCAAAGTGCCAGGGTTCCAAAGGTGAGCCACCATGCCCGGCCTAAGACTAAAATTTAATCATAAAAATTTCCACTTTTAAATTATTTTAGAAGGGTGAATATGATTAAAATTCTTAAAATACAGGGGGAAAATACAAGGGAGAAAATTATACTACTCACTAGATTATCAGTTCCCACGTCGATGCATACAGGCAGGCATTTATCAGGCTGTATTCCCGCACAAGCTGTGTACAAACAAAGCTTTCCTACTGGAATTCCCATTCCATAGACACCCAGATCTCCAAGACCTAGAATTCTTTCTCCATCAGTCACCACAACAGCCTTAATCATACACACAGAAAAATGCAAATTAAAAGTTGTCAAAATGGGGCACTAAAAAAGCATTTTAAAAAGATTCACTTCATATATTTTCACTCCCATTTTAAAAAATAAGATAGTTTCTTGGCTAACTTCCAATGTAAACCAACCCAGCGTATTTAAAACTCTAGGATTCTGATTGTTATAAGCTACTAAAAAATAATGAACTAGATTTGATTTCCCTCTGACTCTGGCTTAGGAATAGAATGTCTCTGACGAGGGAGTCAACTTAAATATCTTCAGAAAGACAAAATATGGCAGAGGTGAACAAGATTCTGATAGAGTGATTGCCATAAGAGAAAAATAAGAGCTTAGAAATAAGCACCATGGTACTCTGACATCATAAGAAAAACCTTAGCAACTGTGAAAGAGAAAAAAACCTAGAACAAAAAAGATACCTATCTATAATGTCTTAAGATGATACTGTGAGTTTATCTGACCAAATTTTGTCTAGATTATTCAAACTAATGATTATACATTAAGATTACTACCTATAATAAAAACAGAAGTCCACAAAAGATCTTAATTGATGACATTTTATTTTATGAAAGATAGCCAGATTGACCAAGGTTGCTAAACTTGACACTCTGGGTTTTTGCTAAGGTTCTAAACCTTACACTGAAGAGAAAAAAAGCATAACCAGTCCTCTTCCACACCGTGCAGAACAAAATGTTTCATGGCATTTTTATGTATTTACTCTATTTAGAATATTAGTGAACTAGAAAAGGCATACAGAGAAGGCAGGAGGCACCAGTGGGACTGGCACTGAGATGGTTTACCTCGTATACGAGCTTCAATTTGTCTCTCAAGAGTCAAACTCTATGCAAGTGACCCATTTTATAACTATTGCTATTATCATCTCCTCCAACACAAAATATTAAACCTGCATGTATACAGATGCAAAATAAATCAGAGCAACAAGGAAAAGCTGTTCTTGGAAACTTAGAGACGACTTACAAGAAGAGAGAAAGCATTGCGAGAAGGAGGGTTGTGCTATTAGTACCTTAACATGATTTTCTGGCCAGTTATCCACAATTGATCTAACATGGCCTCTGTCTGAGATTGAAATAAACAATCCCCTGCAACAGAACAAAAACACCTTTGCATTTCACAACAGTTTTGTTTCTAAGTTTTTGTGCACAATTGGAATATTCTGATATTTTAATCAAACACAGTATAATTCCAAGCAGATTTAGCTAAGTCACACTGGCTTACTTTCAAACATTTTCAACTACTTCAGACTGTAATTACATTGGTCACCTAAGAGCTGCAAAAAAGATTATTGTTAAATGGTGAAATTTTACCCAAGAAACGTATCCACATCTCATGTTCAAACAAATTCAATACACACCCACAAAGAAAGAGCAAACACCACCTAGGGCTAAGCCACAGATGCAGGCGAACACAGTGTGGCCAAGCAAATGACTGTCAAAACTCACCGGAACTGAAAACGTGGAGGAGTGGGATGAGGGGGGGAGGAAAATCACAGTAAATTCGCACAAAAGAGGCAGTGCCTGAAGCACGAGGGAAAAGTGGAAAGTGACTTTCATTTATGTTACCTTCAAGTTGGCAAATAAAAATCGCATACACAGCTGGCCTTGGAATAATGTGGGTCTAGAAAATCAAAAGTTGAAATCCATAGATAACTTTGGATTCTCTCAAAATTTAACTCATAGGCTGCTGTTAATCGGAAGCTTCAGCAATTACATCAAGCCAGTTAACACAAATTTAGGGTTAGGGTTAGGGTTCGGGTTCGGGTTCGGGTTAAGCATCATAGGTTGTGTTAGGCACTATACGCTGTAAGTTGGAGAAAAGAAAATGTCTTTAAGAAAACCACAGAGAGGAGACGGCGCAGCAAGGGCTGGTCTTGGAGTCTCCGGGGTGGCAGAGGCTAAAGGAAACCTGAGTACAAGCGCACCTAGGTTACTCCTGCGTGGCTCAGGGGCCAACGGTATTTACCATGTACAGCGTGCTTTGAAATATGTGTACATGGCAGAACACAGTACATTGCTGTCTAATTGAGATAATCTAGACTTCAAAAGAGAACGGAAGAAAGGAGGGAAGGAGAAAAATAGAGAAAAAAGAAGCACGGGTTCTGGAATACAGGTCTGGCAGAGACGAGGGCCAGAAGGTCCCCATTGTCTTCAAACTGACTTTTACATTTAACTTTCTCATTGATATTTTAACTTTGGCTGTATTATTGTAGTGCAATCAGTTTAGTTTGGCAGTTTCTCACCATAGCTACACAATGGAGTCAGATCAGCTTTTTGAAATGCCAGGGTCTACACCTCCAGAGATTCTGACTTAACAGGCTTAGAGTTTAGATCAATCAACCCACCAGGATTTACTATCTTCTATGTAAAAAACAAAACATACAAAACTGCACAATATACTGTATGAATAATATACAGTATTTGCTTTCACCCAAAAACCATGCTCTTTTTTGTGTTTCAAGTCAGTTCTCAATTCTGGGTACACAAGCTCACACCAGGCTTTGATGAAACTCCCACACCTGGGCCCAAATCTAGACTGACTAAATCAGAATTTTGGGGGGTAGGGCTCAAGGTCAGCATTTTCAAATTTCTCTCTATCCTTTCATTTAGGTTGAGAACTACTATTCTAATAAGAAACTATGAAAGATCTGAGCAGCATCAACGATGATCAGATTGACCAAAGTTGCTAAACTTGAAACTCTTGGTATTTGCTACATCCAACACGTAAAAGAAAAAAGCATAACCCGTCCTCTCCAACATCCTGCAGAACAAAAGTTTTTATAGCATTTTAATGTGTTTTCTCTATCTAGAATATTAGTGAAATAGAAAAGGAACATAGAGAAGGCAGGAGACACCAGTGGGACTGGCACTGAGCTTCATTCGGAATGTTTCAGGTTCATAAATGTCTGGTAGTACAGAGGTTAGAGTGGACAGTGCTTCTTCGTGTCTTCAGGGAATACCTGTGACACAATCACTTAGGGTGTTTACTAAAATCTGTACCTCCAGACCTTTATCTTTTTCATCAGAAATCTTGAAGTAGGAAGGAGAGGAAAGTTGGCAGATATCAACATTTTTAATAAGTCCCACAGATGTTTCTTATGCACATTAAAGTTTGAAAGCCACTACACTAGATATGGGGAGACTGAAGACAAATGCGATCACACCTTGTGTGAATTTTCACATTTGTATCAGTGTGTGAGTGGGCATGGGAAAAATATAAGGATAAAGGAAAATGACAATAGCTTAGAAGAACAAGATAAGAAAACTCAAATTACGGAAAAATAGAATTTATGTGATGCTTTTAAGTTTACAAAGAACAGTCACATCAGTTTCTTCAATAGTTCTTGACTGGGTACTGCTATCCTACTTTCCACATTCAGAGTGACTATATGACCCATTCAAGGACCTGAGTCAATGGGCCATTTCAGTACTCTTTCTATTTAAAATATTTGCTGAACTATTTGAAGTTGAAAGTCATGAAAGTTCATAAAAAAGGAGAACAAGCAACAGAAATTAAAGCAGATAAAAATGAGAAAGAACCAATCCCATAATTTTGCCAGATCAACAAACATTTTAATGATATTTCTGGACTCTGTCACAAGAATTAAAAACTTTTTGTTGTTGTTGCTGCCCCAAAAGTATACAATTATTTTAACAATCACAAACATTTAAGGAAAGTTAGGAATGAATGATGCTGTTTTTACAATGGTATAACTTTGAGTATGTTGGGTTTTACTAATCCCTTTTAATTCAAATTTAGCTTTTGTAATGTGGAAATGTGGTTGGGATAAGGCTGCAGCTCATAAAATCGAAACGCAGAAGCTGTCATGGAATGATATTTTCCTTGTACAATAATCATTTGCAAGTATACTTTGTAAATAAGCCTTACTTGGGTCTTCTGAAGATGTGCCCATACTGGGAGCAGGCAAGACCAACTGTCGGTGTATATACAATTGGCATCAGACTTTCAATATCATCTTGCAGAATTCTATAGAACAATTTCTCATTTCTTTCTTGTATTCCCATTATATAGATGTATCTGGAATTAAGCACAGTTAACGATGTCTAAGTCAGCCCGCATTACATGAAAAGTTTTTGCTTGTGAACCCCAAATGTCTACAACTGACATCGAGTCCCCCCTCCCACATCCGCACCCCAGAAAAGCAGAACCCTAGAGTATCACTATTTAATACGTGAGACTAAAAGCTGACAAAATATAAGGGCACTTCAGTGGCAGATGATGATGAAAACAACAGAAACAGCAGCTCAAGCTGATCGAGCCCTTTCTGAGTCAGGCTCTGCACAAGGCACTGGAGACGCGAAGACCATCACGAGGCCGCCGCCTGTAAGGAACTCGCCTTCAAGGAGGCCGACATGTGACTGAGAAAGCAAGATACATTTTTAAAAATCGGCATTCTTTTTCTTTTGAGGGACAGGTCCCACCCTGTCACCCGGGCTGGAGTGCAGTGACGTAGTCTCAGTTCACATGGCTGCCCTGGGCTTAAGCAATCTTCCTGCCTCAGCCTCCTGGTAGCTGGAACCCCAGGGATGCCACCATGCTGGGCTACTTTTTTTTCTTTTTTTCTTTTTTAGAAACAAGGTCTTGCTATGTTGCTCCAGCAGGTATCAAACTCCTGGCCTCAAGCAGTCCTCTCACCTCAGCCTCGCAAAGTGCTGGGATTACAGGTGCACACCACCCCACCCAGCCTCAGAAAGCAAAATAGAAGGGCATTCATTCAAAGGTCGGCTTAACACGCATGATGTGCCAGGCGCTACCCTGAACTCCAGGGATATATGAAGGGATCCCTGCCCTCAAGGAGTTCATAATCCAGTGGGGCATAGGCATGACAAGGTCTACGTAGAGCACAGAGGCAGCACAAACAAAACAATGGCCAATTCGTGTAGATCAATATATAAATAGCTTCTTTTTAAGTTTGAAGAACAGGAAAACAGCGGCTGGAAAGCCAGCAACCGCCTTGAATTAAACGTGTCTGAAAGCAGACCCGTTATCTGGCCCCTGAACTTCTCTTCTGTCCTCCGGCCAATGGGCACCCCAGGGCCCCTTCTTGGCGCCTTCCTCTCAGTCCTCCCTTCCCCCAGCCCAAGACATCACCGAGTCCACGGAGGCCACCTGCCAAGTCTCTGCAGACACGCCCGTCTCCTCCCTCTACCCTCACCCGCTCCAAGCGGCCGCGTCTCAGCCGGGCGGCCTCGAGGCCTTCTCGCTGCGCTTCGGACACACAGCCTTCTTCCTCAGCTGCAATTCCCCATTCTCCTAAAACCGCGACTGCGGTCATTTTTATCCTGCTTAAATGGCTCTCCCCGCTGATAAGGGAAGGCCAGCGACCAGACCTGTCTGCTTCCCGGCGCGTCTTCTCCACCGGACCCCGCGGCCGCTCGGACGCGCCCCACGCCCGCACCCTCTCTCCGGGACGGCCCCCTCCCGCGCCCCGCACGCGCAGCGCCGGTGGCGGGCTTTCCGCCGCCCTTCGGCCAGGCCCTGCCCCCCACGCCAGCACCGTCGACGGCCCCGCTTCCGGCCGAGGCCCTCCGCCGCCGCGCGCCACCCCCTCGGCTCCCGGCCTTCCTGGCTTCCTCGGGCGGCCGCCTCGCCCCTCCTCGGGAAACGCCTTCCGTCCACGCGGCTGCTTTCGCCGGCCGGCGAGCAGGCCCGGCTGCGGGGGCGGGAGCCGGGATTTCCAGGCACGGGCCAGGTGCGGCGGGCGGCGGGCGGCGGGCGGGCGGCTGAGGAACACCCGGACGCGATCCGCGGGAGGATGCGGGCAGAACAGCGTCAGCCGCTGGAGATGAAAGGGAAGCGGCTTTCTTCCCAGCCGCGGGAATTAAAAAGGCAAGTGCGCTGCCCAGAGGGAACAGACGGCCGCGTGAAGGAGACCGCGGGGCTACTAAGGAAAGAACAGGTGGCTACGGGGCGTGTGACAGAGGGAGGCTGCCCGCGTCACGCATCCCCTTGACGCGCCACTGTCGCCCTCATTTCACTTCAGCCACCCGCTGGTGTGCCTGGCGGCGAGGCTGCAGCGCTCGCCCGGGGCGCTGACGGGTGACGGCTCGGAAGGGCCAAGTCCTCGCCCCGCTCTTAGACTGCAGCGCTGCCCCCTGCGGTGCAGGCGCACGGCGCCCTCACTCCGCATTCTCAGGGTGTCGCCGGCTCCCCGGCCACTCCATGCTCTCCCATTCTCTCAGCTGCTTTTGGGCTCTCTGCACTCCCTCCTCGATCCCGTGGCCACCTCTCCTCCTAGTGCCATGAGTAGGCAGGACCCTCCCGCAGTGTCTGCCCTTCCGGAGACATTGGACTCCCTGAGCGGAAAGGCTGGGTTGTCGGTGTTTTCTTTTTTCTTTTCTTCCATCTCTGGAGTTCCAGGGCCTAGAACAACGCCTGGCACGTAACAGCCCTGGATGATTATTCGCTGAATGAACAGATGTAGCGCTGTTGCCAGTCCAGCAAACTTCAACCCTACATCAATGCTACAGTTTACCCTTTCTGTGGGAAAACAATATGGCTGTGCAGAAGGGCACCAAAACAAACAAGGCGAAGCCACTGGGCCGTAAGGGCCGGTTCTCATTCCTTTACCTGTCCTGTTCAGCTTTATCTCACAGCCATGTGGTCCTGCCAAACACACATCAGTCACTTTCCTCACCCAACGCCATTCCACCTTGGCCCTTCCCAGTCTGAGCCATGACCTGCATATTGCATATCATGAAGAAAGTCGAAGTCATCGGGTGTGAGGAGATCTCACTGCCTCTGCTCCAACAACGCCATGCTCATCCTTGCTAACACCTGCATCTGTCTTCCTTACGCTTCCTTCCGGCTTCAGAGAAAGAGCTGTTATTTGTTTTTTTCCAAGGGCGGCCCCTCTACATCTGCGCTTGACCAAACGCCTTTTCCTTTCTCTGAGACCTTGCTCTCTCGGTCCTCCTTTCTCCCGGGCGCATTCCTCACACCATGAACACATTCGACTCTCTCCCAGTCTTAAACAAACTTAAGCCCAAGCCCTGTTTGACGTGCTGTTCAGTGTCCTCCTTCCCTCTCTTGCCCGAACTTCTGGAGAGAGTGGCTGAGGTTTCCTCCCTTCCCATTCACTTGTCAATCTGCTGCAGTTTCCCTTTGCCCCCACAGCAAAGAAACCATCCTCACCGGTCACCAATAATCCCTAATGCTTAACAAACCCAGTGGACAGGTTTAGTCCTGCCAGCAGACCGAATGCTCTAACCAGAACAGCCTGTCACTCGTTTTCATTAGCCTGCTACCCTACACCGCTACTTAAAACTCAGCTCAGCGGATTGAGTGGTATGCTCTTGTAGTCTCGCTCCTCGGGGACCAAGACTAGAGGATGGCTACAGTCCAGGAGCTGAAGGCTGCAGTGAGCCTTGAACTGCACATGTGAATACCCACTGCACTCCACTCTTGGCTGGGCAACATAGCAAGACCTCGTCTCTTAAAAAAAGTATTCGGCTCGGGCACTGCTTCCTGCAGGAAGTTTTATCCACTCTTTCGGATGAGCCCAGTGCTCCCCCACTCATGCCTCCGGAAGAAGCCCGCATGAAGCTTTTTCTCATTGTGCTGCGCAGCCTCAGCGGCTAGTGCAGTGTCACACAAAAAAGGAGGCGATCAGTAAATGTTGCTGAACAAAATGAATGCTTCGCTCCCAATGTTATATTCAAACTGAAATGCCACAACTTTAAGCATGAAACTGACTTCTGTTAAATTTTACAATGATGAATACAAGTGAATACTTGCTGACGAGAAAGAGACACAATCAGGCAAACAGCTGACAAAAACGCAAACCTCATTATGAGACTATATTTCTCATGCCATATTAACCACAAGCCTCCCACTTCAAATCAGAATAGCAATGCAAAATGAAACATTTAATCAACTCTTACTTTTCCAAAGGGCTATTCATTTTTTTCAAGTTTCTATGGAATCGTAAGGCTTGAATGTCTTGTGTCTCTATTTTGGGAGGTAGAAGTCCTTGAAGACCAAGCATTTGTCGTTCCTGTAATGTGAATGCCATTCCCTAAAGGGAAGAAATAAAAGGATTAAAAATTACAACTTACTGGAACAGTAATGGCACTGTTCTTCAAAATATGATTTAAGGCTGGGTGTGGTGGCTCATGCCTGTAACCCCAGCACTTTGTGAGGCCAAGGGAGGATTGCTTGAGCCCAGGAGCTTGAGAACAGCCTAGGCAACATAGTGAGACCTAGTGTTTTAGCCAGGGTGGTTGTGCATGCCTGTAGTCCCAGACTGAGACAAGGATCCCCTAAGTCCAGGAGGTCGAGGCTATAGTGAGCCGTGATTGCACCACTGCATTCCAGCCTGGGCGATAGAGTGAGACTGCAACTCAAAAAAGAAAAAAACAGAATATGATTTAAATGCAAATTTTAAAAAAATTAATGATATTATTTTTGTCCAGATTTTCAAAATGTTGTAAGACTGATAACGTTTGGTATTGGTGAGAGTGTGGAAGAGAGTTACCCTCACATGCCACTGCTGGAATTGTAGACTAGTTTAGGCTGCTGAAAGATACTCTTAAGGCATTTTTTAATTCTTTAACGCACATACTCTCCAATCAAGCAATTCAACTTCTAGATTTCCATTAGAGAAATATTCATGGAATAAAGAGGAATATATAAGGAGATTAGTTGTAGTACTGCTTCTAGTTCTTCAGCTGTTCCAAACTAACTAAAAGTTTATCAACTACGGAATAGTTAAGCATCCTATCACTGATCATGAAATAGTTCAACATGGAACTCCAAGACACAGTTAGGGTGCACACCAGAGCACACTCACTGTTAGCTCACATGCTTAGAAGACCCACAAAAAACAAACTACGTATCATACACAGATGCATGCACACATTATAAATGAAGTCAACAGAATATAGTTTGAAAGAACATAAACCAACTTGTAACAGAGATTACCCCTCCTCACTCTGAAAGAAGTGAGCCTGAGTTGAAGAAAGAGGATGGGAAACATGATTCCTAAGCTATTTCACAAGAAAACACTTTTCGATATCTTGTATTCTGTTGTGGGTTGCATTCTTTTTATCAAAGCAATGTCAGTGAAAATGTGGAAGTTAGGACTTCAGAAAATTGTTTTCCTCCACATAAAGCACCAAGAATCCTGGTCAAATGATCAGAATCAAGTTTTTTCGAAATTCTGGAAATTAATCAAAGGCTTGAAGCACTCAGGCAGAACTCATTAAAAAAAAAACAAAAAACTAAATCTCAAGAGCAGATTTAAGTAGAAAAAAGAATCTGAAAACTTAAAATAGGTCAACTGAGATTATCCTGTTTAAAAAAAAAGAAAAAGAGTGAAAAAGTATGAACAGAGCCTCAGAGACCTTTGAGACACCATCATGTGTGCCAACACATGCATAAGAGTCCCAGGAGATGAAAGGGGCAGAATACTTAAAGAAATAATGCCTCCAAACTTCCTAGATATTATGAGAAATGTTAACCCACACACCCAACAAGCTCAATAACTCCAAGTGTGATAAACTCAAAGAGATCTATACCCAGACACCTCATAAATAGTCAAAAATCAAAAAACAAAGGGGGAGACTTGAAAGCAGAGAGAAGGGACATATCATGAACAAGAAATCCTCAGTACGACTGACAGTGAATTTCTTACTGGAAATCATGGGGGCCAGAAGGCAGTGGAATGACATATTCAAAGTGTTGGAAAAAAGCAAAACTGTCAACCTAGAATTTCTAAATCTTGTGAAACTATTCTTTAAAAATGAAGGAAGCCGGGCTCGGTGGCTCAGCCTGTAATCCTGTGCCTTTGGGAGGCTGAGATGAGTGGACTGCCTGAGCCTGCGGGTTCGAGACCCACCTGGGCAACTTGGCGAGACCTCATCTCTACAATAAATCAAAAAATTGGCCGGGCATGGTAGTGTGCGCCTGTAGTTCCAGCTACTTGGAAGGCTGAGGCGGTAGGATAGCCGGAGCCCAGCAGGTTGAGGCCGCAGTGGCCGGGAGCGGCCACTGCACCCCAGTCTGGGTGACAGAGTGAGACTCCAACACAAAAAAAAAGAAGGAAAAATTAAGACATTCTCAAATAAAAACAGAAAGTTCACTGCTAGCAGACCTGCACCACAAGAAATATCAGAGTTCTACAGTTTGAAAAGGAAAAAAACTACCCAGTAACTCTGCATGAATAAAGAACACAGGTAAGGTGACTACATGGATAAATGTAAAAGGCAGCACGCACTTATTTCTGTGTGTAGTTTTTTTCCCATTCCTACCTGATTTAAAGGACAACTGCTGCATAAGGCAATAATTACATATCTCTACTGATATATAATATTGGTATCTATACTGCTATAATTGTGGGCACACAATGTTTAAAGATGTAATTTGTAAGACAAAGCAAATATTTTTTCCCAGTCTGTGGGCTGTCTTTCTGCTTTCTTGGTGGTTTCTTCGGGTGTGCAGAAGCTTGTCAGTTTGATAAGGTACCACTTGTTTATCTTATCTCTTGTGGCACGGGCACTTGAGGTTTTGATCAGGAATTGGTTGCCAGTTCCAATTTCCATAAAGGTGTCTCCTGCATTCTAAGGTTCTCATAGTTTGAGGTTTTACATTTAGGTCTTTGATGCATTTAGACTTGATTTTTGTGTATGGTGACAGGTAGGGGTCTTGTTTTAATCTTCTGCATGTGGTCAGCCAATTTTCCCAGCACCATTTACTGAATTAGTTCTCCCCTACACAGTGGTTGGTGGTGGAGGCTTTGTCAAAGAAGAGTTGGTTGAGAAATTTAGGTTTGCTTCTGGAATTTCTATCCCATTCCATTGGTCTATATGCCTGTTCTTGTACCAATACCAGGCTGTTTTGATAATTGTAGCTTTATAGTAAAGTTTAAAGTCTGGAAGTGTGATACCTCCTGCTTTGCTTTTTTGTTGTTGCTGAGGATTATTTTGGCTATTCATGGTCATTTATGTTTCCATATGAATTCCTGTATTGTTGTTTCCAGGTGTGGAAAGAATGCTGCTGGTAATTTAATGGGTATTGTGTTAAATCTGTAGATTGCCTTGGGTAGGATGGACATCTTAACAATGATTCTTCCAATTCATAAGCATGGAATATTTTTCCACTTGTGTCATCTTTGATTTCTTTGAGCAGTGTTTTGTAGTTTTCACTGTAAAGTTCTTTCACATCTCTGGTTAGGAAGATGCCGAGGTATTTCATTTTTCTGTGTGTGGCTACTATGAATGGGATTGTGCTTATTTGGATTTATTTGTTTATTGTTGGTGTATAGAAATGTAACTGTCTTTTGCACATTTATTTTATACCCTGAGATGTTGCCAAAATCCTTTATCAGTGCAAGGAGGTTTTTGATAGATTCTCTTGGGTTTTCAAGGTACAGAATCACATCATCTGCAAAGAGGGATAACTTAACTTCTTTTCCTATTTGGATACCCTGATCGCCTTCTCTTGTCTGATTGCTCTAGCTAGGACTTCCAAAACTATGTTGAAATAGAGGGTTGGGAGTAGGCATCCTTGTCTTGTTCCAGTTTTCAGGGGAAATGGTTCCAATTTCTGTCTGTTTAGCAGTATGCTGGCTGTGGGTTTTTCGTAGATGGCTCTTACTATTTTGAGGTATGTTCCATCTAAGCCTAGATGTTCAAGGGTTTTTATCAAGAAGGGGTGCTGGATTTTATCAAAAGTTTTTTTTTGTATCTAATGATACAATCATGTGGTTTTAGGTTTTATATCTGTTGGTATATTTAATTACATTTATGATCTGATGTATGTTGAACCAGCCCTGCGTCCTGGGGATGAAGCCTACTTGGTCTTGGATGATTTTTGAGATGTGTTGTTGGTTCTGGTTTCCTAGGATCTTGTTGAGAATTTTAGCATCTGTGTTCATCAAGGATATTGGCCTGTAGTTCTCTTTCTTCGTTGGATCTTTACCTGGTTTGGGTATCAATGTGATGTCAGCTTCATGAAATGATTTGTAGAGTTCCATCTTTCTCAATTGCCTGGAATACTTTCAATAGGATTGATAGCAGCTCCTCCTTGTATGTTTTGTAGAATTCTGCTGGAAAGTCATCTGGTCCAGGGCTTTTTTTTGGTATGTAGTTTTCTTATGACATAGTCAATTGCCTGGATTGTTATTGGTCTCTTTAGGGTCTCGATTTCTTCTTGTTTTAAACTGGAGAGATTGTGTGAGGTCAGAAAGCCCTACAATTCCTTTAGGCTTTTGAGTTTATTTCCATACAAGTGTACATAGTCTCTGATAATCTTTTGAATTTCTTCAGCGTTAGCTGTGACTAGATCTTTTGCATTTGATTGTACTTATTTGGACTTTTTCCTCTCTTTTTCTTGGTCAGTCTAGCTGGGGGTCCATCAATCGTGTTTATTCTTTCAAAGAACCTGCTTTTTGATTCACTGATTTTTTTTGTATTATATTTTCGTCTTCTGTGTCACAAACTTGAGGTTTTGTTTTGGTGATCTGGATTCTTTTGCTGAAGTTAGGGTTTTGGTGGTCTTGCTTTTACAGCTCCCTTAGGTGACTTGTTAGGTTGTGAACTTGTGATGTTTCTATTTTCTTCATGTGTGTTCATAGAGATATCAATTCCCCCTTTAATACAGTTTTCCTGGCATCCCAGAGGTTTTGGTAAGATGATTCTCCATTTTCATTTGTTTCTAGGTATCTTTTAACTCTGTTGATTTCTGTGTTGACCAAGGAGTTGTTTAGCATCATGCTGTTTAGTGTTCAAGTCTTTGTGGGTTCTGGGGGCTTTGTTGGTATAGATATTTATTTTTATTCCACTGTGGTCTAAGAAGGTGTATGACAGTATTTCAATTTTATGGAATTTGTTTATGCTTTATTTATGGCCAAGGATATGGTCGACCTTAGAGCATGTTCCATGTGGTGATGAGTAGAATGTATATTCCGTAGTTGTCGGGCGGAGTGTTCTGTATGTATCAATTAAGTTCATTTGGTCAAGCGTCACATTGAGGTTCTGGATCTCCTTGTTGATTTTTTGTCTCGATGATCTGTCTAGG